TTCGGCAGGACACGGGGGACAGCGAGCGGCTGAGCGTGGCATTGCCGGGGTGCACTCGAGTCAACCACGCGGCCCCCTCCCCGCGCCAGCCCCCCTGCAAGCACCGGGAAGCAGCTTCTGCTGTGTGCACGGGAATCAGATTCTCCCCCCCTTTCCCAGCCCCGTGGCCCCAGGACTCTTTGCTCCGTGCTCTTGCATGGGGGGGAGGGGACGGATGCTTCCCACTTGCCCTGGAGGCCTCCCGCCCTGGGATGAGCCCAAACGGCCCTGCTCCCCACTCACTTGCCGGCCACGCGGTCCTGCAGATGCGTCAGCGTGGCGAAGTTGCTCCTGACGGTGCGCAGGCTGGCCAGGACCTGTGGGCAGAGGAGCACAGCGGCTGGGGGCCAGCAGCACAAGACAGACCCAGGGCGTGGGCCCAGAGCCAGACCGCTCAGCAGCACGGCTGGGGAGCTGTGCCCGAGAGCCTCGCCGCTGAGCGCTGGGAATCGGAGACCTGCTGGCCTGACTTGGAGACCGGGGCAGTTTCCTTCGTGGCAGAAAAGCCAAGGAGCCATTCAGTGCCCTGGGGCAGAGGCCTGTTTGCTGCGAGTTTGTGCCGTGCCTGGCACGTGGCCATGGGAGTGTAGGGGGGCCCGGGCAGCCCCGGAGAGAGGTGGTGGGTGCCGGGCTCTGCAGGGAGCATTAGAACCGACGCCAGCGCGATTCCCAGCGGCCCCAGACTCCGGGCGAGCCCCCTACCTGCGCGAAGGGCGTGACGATCATGTCTTCTCCATGCCTGCAAGGGCAAAACGGCACATGAGACCCGGAGTGGGCAGAGAGGGAGGAACTGGGGGGGGGATTCCCTGTGTGCAGAGCCAGCCCGGGCCCCACAGATCGGGGGGCGAGGGATGTGCTGGCAGGGAACCACCCTCTGTGACCTGGACACCCAAGCTGTGAGTGTGGGGCGCCCGGCTGGGGGCTGAGCGAGCCCAGGCTGCCCCTGCTGGTCCTTGGCAGGATGCCCCCCTGCAATGCAATTCCAGCCCAGCCCGGTGGCACCAGGTTCCCTGTTCCCTGGCCTGCCCCACTGCTCTCCCCTGGCCCCTCTGCTCCCCTCCCTTCCCCAGGGGATCAGGGCACCAGCCTGGGCTCCAGCTGTGCTCTGGCTGCTCTAAAGACAGACAGACAGACAGACAGACAGGCTCCCTGGGGGCAGAGGGCCCACACCAGTCCCGCTGGGCGTCTCGGCCTAGGGTGCCCTGCCAGCCCAGGGCCACTGAGGGGCCATGCCAGCGGGGCTGGGCAGGGGGGGACTTACAGGTCGCCGGTGATGGAGGAGTTCCGGGACATGGCTTTGGGAGACAGGTCGTAGTCGCTGTCCGAGCGGTAGAGGAACGACTCGCGCCGCTCAGCCCGGAGCCGGGGCTGGTTTGGGGCTCCAGCGGGCTCCTCCCCGACGAAAAGCCATTCTCAATGTCAAAGCTGCAGAGAGAGGGGAGGCAGGAAAGCTCAGAGAAGAGCCGCACAGAGACGGGGGCTCGCCCAGTCGCTCGGGGCTACTTTCCCGCTGCGCTGCACCCCGCTCTGAGCACACGGGGCCGGTCCGGAAGCCTGAGGAAGGGGAGGGAA